AACTCAAGTTATTTATGCCCTGACTTAGATCAGCCCAGAGGTTGTTTCAGGGTTTGATCTGTGAGTTAGCCATGCCCTGACTTAGATCAGCCCAGAGGTTGTTTCAGGGAATCGATACAATTTAGTTTTTAGAGTTTTAATTGTAATAAATTGGTTTGTAAATCTGCAGAAAGAACTTGAGAAGGAAGCGGCCGCAGAAGAAAAAGAAAAGAATGAGTCTCAAGTAAGTTTTTCTATCGCTTTTTTATCACCACATTTTTCTGCGCAAAACAGAGATGGTAGGAATGACCACAAAATACCATTAATATCGAAAGATAGACATTGACAAATAACATAAGGAAACTAGACAATTTGAAAGCAAAATTTAGTCAAAATTTCCCTTGTTTTTATCGATTCTGTTCCTCACTGCAAACATGCTGTGACGTCAGGCAATTGGAAATAAAAAGGAGAAAAGGGAAAAAATGATTAACAGTCCTTTTCATTCTCATAGTACCCACTAGATGTCTCTCCTAATGAATCAAACGAGGCCATGATTGCCTTCACCAACACAACAGAACTGAATTTTGTCACAGCCCAAAGACGTCTGACCTACTACATGATGAACAGAGCACAACACAGTAACAAACAAAACGAGTGTGTCAGGTCAATATCACACCCAAACCTAACCATCATGCCTAGCAAGCCTGATATCCCTAAGGTTGATTCCTTCAAGATGGACTACCTTGATGGAGGAGGTTATGGCTTCGCAATTCGATTTCCCGCCAAAAAGAACCAGGAATCAGAGAAGACTACCGAAAGAAGTGATAGTAAGTCACAAAGACAGGTTTCACTGCAGAGTTTTGAGGAAGCGAGGTCAAGCGCTGATGAAATAGAGATGCCATCATTCGTAGAGGTTCATGCAAGAAGCATGTCACCATTTCGAGATGTTAGAAGACGAAAACAACAACCTAAACATGAAGAAATCCCTGCTCGGTCTAAAGACAGCAGTACTACTAGGGACTTAGAAACAATGCTACGTCTAGTGAACAATACCCAAAACTGCAAAGCTAGTTATGTGGAATGTGATTATCAAGATGAACTCTTAACAGAGTTTAATAGACTCAACATGAGGACAAGAAGACATGATTTTCATCGAACAAGAAACCAATTTAGTCACCGCAAAGGTCCTTCAGTGAACAACCGCTCAACAGTCGAACTGCGAACTCCTGTCTTCTCTTCCTTCAATGATAATTATTCAGATGCTTCCTCACGAAGTAATGATAAGAAAGATCACGCTATCTTACCCGAATACGAACCATACTCTAGTGCTATTCCTTCATATTCTTCTGTGGGATTCTCAAGCCCAAAAAACACGAGAAAAACATATAGATAAAATAGGGTTTAAAAACAATTTATAGTTTTGATTAAAAAGGTATTTTTGAAAAAGGATAGAGCTTTTACCTACTAGGATATAAAATATAGTTTCACCTTTCAATTTTCGTTTTTCGCGCACAATAAAGGCTAGCATAAGAGAGCTCTCTTATGTAACCGGCGGCAAGGCGCTCAGCTATGAATCAGATTGCAAGTGGTTTTGACAAAAGAATTTATTGAAAAATTCACACAACTTTACAATACATGAAAAAAAA